AAACAAGGAGGTCAACCACAGGGAAAGAAGGTAGAAACTCGCACTTGCCATAAGTGTGGAGAAGTTGGTCATTTGAGGGCAAACTGTCCAAATCGAAACGACAGTGAGGAGGACAAGCCTGTAATTTCTGAGTTTAAGAAGTGGCAAGGAAATAATCAGCGAGGTAATGTTAATGACAAGCGTGGGCGCAAAGGCGTGAGTGCTTTGTGCTGTCATGTGCGGGGAGTGCCTGTTGCTTCTACCTCAAGTACCAAGACTTCTACTGGTGTTGAAACTGAGTGGGTTCTGGATTCGGCCAGCGACGTGCATGTCTGTAAGAAGAGTTCGGTTCTGCACAATGTGCGGATGGATAACGTGCACTTCTTCCAAGGATATGATGGGAAGGCTAGTGAAAATGAGCAAGTTGGTGATGTAACTTTGCGGGCGAAAAATAATAAGCCCCACACGCAGAGTCAATGTTGCCATTCAAAAGTGTCTTTTTCTCGCAATCTGCCCCGGGCAACTTGTTGAGTATGGATATGCTGGAATCAGACGGATGGACAGTGAAGTTCGGTCGGATCCATTCTCAGTCGGTGTGCTGGCTACGCAAAGACTACAATGAACTACTGCTAGTGAAGAGCAACCGGCGTTATCGTTTGAAAGCAACTGCTGTTGACACCTACAGTGTTCCGTCGATACAGACTGGTGAACCGAGTTCTCAAAGTAACTTAAAACAGATTGTGTCGCCCAAGACGCCCAGCGCTGCGTCGCTTGAAAGGTGGCATTTGCGTTATGCTCATCTGAACTTTGCAGCTTTGCAGCAAATGGCTCGCAGAGGAGCTGCTGGTGGCATGGACTATAAATTATACGAGGACATGGACTCGCCATGCTGGACGTGTATGGCATCAAAGCTGACTAGGATGTCATATAAGAAGACAGTAACTCGTCGTGCAACCCGACCGTACCAGAAATAAATGAGTGGTATGTGTTACGTCGGGGTTGTGACGTACGATGGTTACGAACACTTCTAGTTACTTCAGGATGAAGCGAGCAGATACTTGCGGGGATTTTCGATGCGCCGCAAGCAAGATGCAACTGAGATAATCATGGCTCATCTTAAATGGCTCAGAGCTCAAGGAAATCGTATTGAAGCGTTCTGCTCCGATCAAGGGCGTGATCTATTGAATGGGAAGATGAAGGCTTTTCTCGAGGCAGTTGGTACTGAGTTTATCTGGACCAACGCATATAGTCCGGAGGAAAACGGGCTAGTCGAGAAAATGAACGGAATTGTAATGGCTCGAGTTCGATGTTTGCTATCCGCAGCAAACTTACCGAGTACACTGTGGGGTGAAGCATTCCAGTTTGCCGTGGATGTGATTAACATCAGTGCAAGCAGTGCACTTGAGGGTGAGACGCCTTATTTCCGTCGCTTTGGCTCTAGACCCGACGTGTCTACGTTGCGTACGGGGGGCTGCGTCGTATTCGTATGCACACCAAAGGTGTTGCATACAAATAAACTGGAAAATTCTGGAAAGCCAGGGCTTTTCATGGGCTATGCCAAACATTCCGAAAGCTACCGAGTTTTGAATTTAAGGAATAGGAATATAAATGAAGTTCGCTCGGTTGAATTTCAGGAAGACTGGACGGTGGAGCGTAGTTACGTGGAGCATCTACTGTCTAATCGCTACAGAAAAGGACAGTATGTTCTCCCAACGACTATTCCTTACGTCCGTTTGCCGGTGTTATATCCCGTCACGCAAGGAAGCCAGCGCAGTTCTAACGAGCCCGATGACCGTCCTACCAAGCGTTATCGCTGTGATGATCGTGCTGTTTGTGATCTGCCTATTGAAGTGGATGGAGAGCCTGCTGCAACATCTGCAGATGCGTCTGGAAGATGTCTGTTGAGCGGAGATGAGGTTACAGTGAGCAGTGCCGAGGCACAGGCTCAGCCGACACCTGCGGGTGTGCCACTATTGGGAGGTAACGTTCCTGAGTTTGAGACCCTTGTGCAAGACGGCAGCGGGCACGGTATTGTAGACTTGCCTAACAGCGGTCAAAGTGGTACTGTGGAAACTCTGTCGTATTGCGAAGGATCACCTTCAGTGGGAGACACAAATGGTGGAGAAATTACAGCTGATAATAATACCGAGAGTATGGATACCAACGAGGACGAGGAAGACACCACTGCGTTTGGTGGACCGCACTGTTTCTTGATATAGTGGGAGCGACGATAAAGACTATGCTGTCGAAGCCGATGGGTGGAGCGGAGCCGCTTCTCGAGCGCCAACATCGTTTCGACGGTCGACACGTGTGAGACGACCGAATATACGTCTTCCAGACTATGATGTGGAGATTCCTGCTAGTCTGGTGATTCAAGCAGTCAGCTATCTCCTGGAGCCGCAAACAGTCGATGAAGCTTCGCACGCACCTGATGCTGACAAATGGGTAGAAGCCCTTCACAAAAAGTTTGGAGATCTCATGAGGAATCATACCTGGATACTTGTTGAGCGCCCGAGAGGGAAAAAGATCCTGACGAGCAAGTGGGTGTTTGTCCGGAAACCCAACGCAACCCGAGTAGGAGAAGTCATCCGACACCGTGTTCGTATCACCATTAAGGGCTGCCAACAAGAGTATGACGCTCCCATCGTGTCATTTGAGGCTGTAAAGTTGGTCTTGCTGTTAGCACTACAGTATGGCCTACTCTGCGAGCACATCGACTTTGTAACGGCGTTCTTGAATGGGCCAATTGGGGAAGACATGGAAATATACATGGAGATGCCTGAATACTGAAACGATGGTACAGGCAGAGTGTGCAAGCTGCTTCGCAGTTTATTTGGCTTGAAGCAACCCCATTAATCTGGTACAAGACGCTGGACAAACATTCGCGAGCGTGCGGGCTCAATCGCTCTAAGATGGATAACGGTGTTTACTAGCGTGTGGTCAAGGGTAGTCCGAATCTTGGTGACGGTCTATGTGGATGATCTCGTTATTGCTGCTATTGTGGAGAATACTAAGTTGGTCATCAGTGAACTGGAGCATAAGTTTAAGCTGCAGGACTTAGGCTCCGTGAATCTGCTACTAGGAATGGAGATAACGTATATTCCGGGCCACGCAATGTGGATTTCGCAGCGTGGGTACATTGAGAAGATTCTCAAACGATTTCAAATGGATCAATGCCGCGCTGTAGCTACACCACAAGCCGTAGGAGAGCTGCCATTACCAGCCACCTCTGATGAGGAAGGTGTCAAATAATACTAGTCTACCATATCGAGAAATTGTCAGCTGTCTACAATATCTAGTGCAATGTTCACGACAAGAAATTCGCCAAAACCCTGTGCGCACGTTGGGCAAGTACTCGAATAAGTACACGCAGATGAACTTCACTATGGCGAAGCGGGTGCTGCGGTACCTGCGAGGGGCAGTGGACTATGGTCTCGTATGGGAGAAGGTGGAGTCTCCGGATCCTCATTTCACTGCGTATGCAGATGCTGATTTGGGTAATGAAAAAGATGATCGGCACTCGATTACTGGGTTTGTGTTGCAATTGAACGGATGTACGTTTGCGTACAAGTCTAGCAAGCAGCGGATTGTGACAGACGGCACTTGCTGTATATAGTTTGTCGCTGCGAGCGAATGCTCGACGATGATTATACGGACGCACAATTTGTGCAAAGAGCTAAGCCTCAAGCGTCGCCATCCAACTGTGTTGTACCAAAACAACCAGGCGGCGATCGTTGTGCTGACAGAGATTAAGGGCAGCTACAAAACAAAGAGTGTGGACTTGAATTACCATAAGGCTCGAGACTTCCATGAACGTGGAGAGTTTGATGTGCGTTATTGTCCGTCCACGGACATGCTGGTGGACATATTTACGAAACCTTTAGGTCCTACTTTGTTCAAGAAGTTTAGGCAGTTGCTGAACGTGATGCCGTTGCCGATGGTCATCGAGGATGACAAGACTGACGACCGCGACTAGCTTGCGAGCTATTAAGGCAGTAAGCAAGCAGACTCGAAGTGGGAGTGTTAGGACAGCGTGTCGAGCTCCGCTGGTCCACTGTTATCTTTAAGGTTGAACTTGTCTGTGCCCAGTCGCGTTATACGGAAGACCAACCAGTAACTATACGGTCGTTAGGTGTATACTATGTGTATAACGAGGGGGCTGTCACCCGCGAGGTTTCCTCCTCAATTCCAATTCTTCTCTGTGGGAACCGAGTGTTATTCCTAGCCGTTTGGGCTATCGGCTCGTGTGCATTTACTCACACTGAACTAACAATAGTTGGCACTCGCCTGCGGACTTAGCGACGTCACTTCGAGGGGCCCGCCACTCTCTCGCTTCGCTCGGGGGGCGCCGCTCCGCCGGCCAGCCCCCACCCCCTCGTTCATTTCGCTAAGTCCTCGGCTTCGGCCAGGAGCGGTGTCTAGAAAAAAAAAATCGGGTTGCAGCGCTGGCTTCGCTCGCTCGCTACAGCAGCCCCGCCTGATCGGCGGGCGTTTGCAGAGCGTGTATGGACGGAGTGAGGCTCACGCTCGCGTTCGCCTCGCCCGAGGTAACTGAAGGATCGAGCCAAGTTAGTTCCCCATCCTCGCAATTACCTGATCAGCTACAGCAGTCACGAAATCCTTCATTTCGCACGCAATCTTCTTGTTAGAGATTACCGTCAGACATGAGCTCGATCGAGCTTACCTGGACACGGAGTTCTCTTGACTTAAGCTCGGGCAGGTAGATTTCGAAATGAGCCGCCTTTTTAAGATGAACCCACAAATGTGACCTTTCGAGAATCCTAAAAGTAAATTACGCGTAATTTACGAAAGGATTTTCCAGTGTTATTGATCCTTTAATGACTCCCTACTCTTTTCGCCAAACAGTCTCAAATGTATTTTTTCTGGCTTCACTACTGTACTTTTTTAAGTTATTGCATTCTTAAAAGGGCTAGGCGATATCCGTTTGCATTTTTTTAAATAAAGCCTGATCACGTCTGGAAATATAGTAACTTCACTATGATGCAAATTTTTTCATCCATTCACCGCTCCAGCAACACTGTGAGCTTCTCCATGATAGTAACGGCAGTCTTTGGGTTCATCTTTCGCATCAGGTTCGTCGCATGGGGTTTCTTCGGGATCTGGTTCACGCGTCGGAACGAAGCCGTCGCGTTGTACAGAGCCAACTTCCTCGACAAAAGCTCCTTCAGACAGCTCAGACGCTTCTCCGCTTCACTCCAGCTCTCCTGCACACCAGCATTTCGGTCGACCAGAGGCTTCAGCAGCTCCAAATAGTACGTGATAACATCCGCAGAAAGCACGAAGACGTGATGCATGTCGCGATGGATGTGCAGCAGGTCCACCAGCGTGTCCAAAGCGCGCAGATCCACGTCGAGTCGGTCCTTGTCATCAATGGCAACCACTCGCTTCACTCTGCTCTTGTCTGCTGAGCGTCGGTACACTGTCAAATTCTTCAGCACGAGCAGCAATTGGTGCAGGAGCTCCACATGCGGACGGCTTCGGTTCAGTCCCCGGATCGCAGCGAAGATGGTGGACGAGATCTGCAGTCGCACGCACTTACGGCAACACTCACGCGAGTATCGTGTGCACACCTCGATAGTGTGGCTGGCAAACAGCATGTCCTGTAGTCGCTTGCCATGCAACAGCATGTGTAGAGCCATGTCCAGTCGTGCTCCCAGCGTCTGCGGTTGCTCTGTCTGGACGCGTCTCTCTTCATGACTCTTGACTCGCAACTGCTGCAGACTCGACGCTGAAGTGCCAGAGCTGGGGTGAGTCTCCTGGCCAATTAGCTTCATGGAGGATAACTTCTTCCTTTGCCGTGTGACCTCTGGACTGCTGTGGTGTAAGCGAACCAGCGCTCCTCGCCACCACGCCTGAAGTCGCCGCACTGCCACAAAGTGGAAGTTTCGCTCTCGGAAAGGTAAAATTACCTTCTCACGCAGCCACGAGCCAACGATACTCGCGGAACGAGCTCTAGCCATCGCTAAAGCCAGATCTTCCCTCTCTCGCTGACGCTTCTCTTCGGCTCGTCGCTGTTGTTCCGCCCACTTACAGCACAGACCCAGCCACCACACCTGCATACGTTGAGCTGCACCGTTCCTCTGTCGTTTGTCTTGGATGCGTGCGTCGATAGCTTTTCTTAGGCAGAATGTGCGCCAGCAAGAAGCGATTCTGGCGGTATCAGCGACGCGTTTCTGCTGGATTGCAGCGCCAAGCCGCGTCCAGTGAGCGCGCACCATAAGAGCTCGCTTCCTGCGGTACTTCATCGCACAGTTTGCATACCAGAACTCGATCTGCCAGCACGATATCAACACGCGCAGACGCTGCAGACGCTTCTGGAGTGCGTAGAAGTCAAACCGGCGACGACGAGAGCTCCATCCACGCGCGAGTTTCTGGATACTCTCAGCTGCACGATGGAGACGCAACGCTCGTCGGAACTTCGTCACCGCCCGCCACGAACGAAGCGCTCTTTGTATCACCAGCACACTCGTGGAGGCCTTAGCGTATTGCTGTCGCGTGATAAATCCACGGAAAGCCGCTTGGATGAACGTAGCTGCCAGCAGCTGCTTGTGAGAAGCGTAGAGCCGATAGACTGACTGAATTCGCGTCGCAGCACGGTGTTCCACGCTCTCCTGCAGACGTTGAAGACGCTTCAAGCGAATCCGTTCTTGCAGTTCTTCCTCCTCTCGCTGCATGCGTCGATAGCACACGAGCATCTTCTGGAACGACAGCAGCGCACGGAGTTGAGTGTGACGACGCCAAATCCTCACGTTCTTCTGGAGTACACACGCACTTTTTCGCACAGTAGAGTACCAGTTCTTCACCGTCCACGCCCGCACCAAACTCTGCATCTTCACGGCAGCAAGCGTTCGTTTCTGGAAGCGATAGCGTTCGAATATCGTCCGGATACGACTCGCAGCTCGCGTCTCCACCTTGTGCTTGAGTTCCTGCAGCCGCATCACTCGCCGCTGCGCTTCAGTCGCCTTCATCTGTTGATAAATCCTCAGCATGTTGTGGAACTGCGTCAACGCCGCCAGTTGCCGCCTCCGACGCCACGCACGAACATTCCTCTGCAGCACCACAGCAGCAAGTTTCTCCTTCTGGAACGCCAGCTTTTGCTTCTTGCCACGGAACACACTCGCCAACTTGGTCGCAGCCACTTCTCGCCTACGTAGCGTGAGCTTGCGAAAGCATTTCTGGACGCACTTGACAGCACGCGTTTCCACCTTGTTCTTCAGCTTGAGTTGCCGTCGTTGCAGCTCCTTCTCCTTCATCATCAGCTCAAATCGCTGCAGAGCGAGAACCCGCTGAGTCTCTTCGCGACGGCATCGATATGCACTCCAAACGCGCTGAAGAATTCCTGCTGAGCGATGCATTTGTCGCCACATCTGCTGGCGGTGCTTCCGAGCCACTTGAAGCGAACGATATCGCCGCCACGCGCGTTGAATTTGGGCCACAGCAACGTGTCGATCCGCGATCAATTGCTGTCGGAAGAGACGAGCTGCTGCTCTAGACAAATACCGCAGCCAGTTCCTCTCGATGACAGCACAACTCGCCCTCACACGCACTCGCTGCGCGGCCTTATCTTGCACGGCCTTTTGTTTCTGTCGTTCCTTCTCCCGCCTCCATCGTAGTTGCTTCCTCCAGTGATACTGGATCACAAGAACTGCGCCAACAGAGTCTCCATTGATACGCATCTGCCGACGAGCTCGGAATGCTCGTTGAGTGGCCACCACAGCTCTCCGAAGTCGCACGAATTGCCTTCTGACGGCACAGGTCTGCACTGTGCTTTTAACGACATGAGCAGCGCGCAAGAGTTTGCGGCACTGACGAACAGCCAGTCGCTTCTGACTGGACGTGTACCAGAACCGCTGGACAACGCGAGCACTGCGGCTCTTCTTGCGATGCAACTTCAGTCGAACTAGTGGGCTCTTCCACCAGCGTTTCAGTCGACAAGCAGCGTGGATCTCGCTGTACGAGTCCATGAGACGAGACTGCAAGTAGCACACGAACGTGACCACCATCTTGTCCTCTGGCGGGTTCTTGGTGTTGTACTGCTGCGGCATTAGCACTGGCACCTCGCCAAGCTGCTTGATGCGGTCGTTGATGGTAGCAAAGTGCCGCTGCTCGTTGTTCAGGAGGGTCTTCTCACTCATCTGCTGGGCATGTGCGTCGCTGGTTGTGACCAAAATGTCTGATTTGGACAACAGCATTGGATGGTAGTAGTGGAGCAGGTAGCACAGCGCTCGGCCATCGGCAAACGACGTCGAGAAGTCGCTTACTGCGACGCTGTAGTTGGCACACACAGCACGACACCACTCCAGCAAGAGCGTGTAGCATTCATGTTCGTCTGTGTGGAGGAGAGGCTCGCTCTGCTGCTGGTTATCGAACAACTCCTTGGCTCGGAAGCTCATCCGCTTGACGACATTCTCGATCTCGCGTCGCATCGTCTGGGCGTCCACAAGAGACTGCAGCTGGAAACAGCTGATGAGTTTCCACAGCAACGCCAGCGTTTTCTCGCGGTGGCCGTTCACGATATCCTTGGCTAGATTCTCCACCATCTTTTCGTCCACTTTGCCCCGTAACGCTGCAAATCCAGACGAAGACACACGCACGCGCCCGTTCCTCTTATCTCCTCTGCTGCTGCTGCTCTTGAGGTTGTCCAGTACGCTCGCGCCGCATTTGTCTTGCAAGAAATGCAGACAAATCTCGACGTTGTGCACTTTCTGCAATCGCGACAAAGCCGGAACGCGCAGGAACGTTGACAAGCCTTTAGGCCGAGAGAGAGTCTCCCCGTTCTGGTCTGTTGCCGCCGACACTGGCACAGTCGTAAGCGCCTCCATGAGCTTGGCAAGGCGGACGCCATCACGCAAGTCCGTGTCCAGGTTTTGGACCTCCAGATCGATCTCATCCAACGACGTCTGCTCGTGCTTGAGCGTGTAGCCCAGTTTCCTCAGGTGCTTGTCAATGCACCCTTCGCTCGCCAGAAAGAGTCTGCAGAACTCGGTCACGAACACCTGCGAGCGCTTCACCCACAACGCGTCAGCTTCACGGCGTTGACTGCTGCTCTTGCCAGCGCTTTGAGCTTTGCTGGACGCGGTCTCCTTGGTCAAAGGAGCAACTCGAAACAGACACGGGAAATGCGGGAACTTGTCGGCTTTCCGCTCGATCGCGCGGTCCAGGAAAATCACCAGCATCAAGAACTTGAGCATGAACGACTGCGTTAACGAGTCAAAGTATTCTCGCCCGTTGATGTTCTTCTTGGTGTTCGTGAAGGCATTGCCACCGTCATGGCGGTCGGCAGTGGAGCCGTCCATTGGCGTCATGAGAATCTTCACCAGGCGGTAGTTCTGGGCGACGTCCACGTCTTTAACCAGGTGTTTCAAGATGATCCGACGTAGCACTTGAGGCATCTTGCGGCCCTGTGGGGCGTCTTTCTTCGCTGGACTGGGCACTATGACAGTCACCCGGAAGACGGCTCGCAGCGAACACTTCTCCTGTCTCATGACGTGACTGCCCAACACAGCGTTGAGACCCAAGCAGAGCCAGACAGGGTGATAGTTGTTCAAGAGGCTGATTAGCTCCTCCTGCAAGCCGACGTCAGCATACACCGGACGGTCTGCGCGAAATAGAAGCCCCTTGTTGCCGATCTCATCATTCACACTCTCTAGAATGTCGTCCATACTGGGGGAATGATACAGCTCCAGCGCAGCCTGCGTCCACTTGGACTCCATACGCTTCTGAGCAAGCACCCGCAGCGACGAGAAATCGAATCTGCGCTTTACGCCATCCGTTTGGCCTACGTCATCGTCCATGCCGCCCAGACGCTGTGCAGTTCCGTCCAGCAACACATAATTTATCCATTTCGTGAATCCTTGCGTCTGCTTCGCCATCCAGTTGTCATCAAACACCTCCTGCCTCTGTTTCCACCACGACCCAGTCAATCGCTTCTTCGAAGTAGGATCTTGCAATGCGCCGACACTTTTTCTCGGCGTTAGAGCTCTCGGTGGCTCGCATTTCCTCCTCTTTGGTCCATTTCGAGGCGGCGAAAACTCAATCGCCACTGACGAGGGACGTTTGCCTCCCACTACGGGTCCAGGTCTCACCACAGGCTCCTGTTCCGGCTCGCCTTCGCGTGCTGTCTGTGCTGCGAGCGCTGTACTTCTTGATCCCTGTCTGGTGCTCTCTTCTGGTATCCTCGGCAGTCGATGCGGCTTCGCTCTAGGCGCCACCACGATAGTATCAACGGGAGCTTTTGCTTTGCCAAACTTGGCCAGTCTGGCCACACGAGGCATCACGAAGCCTGTCGCTCGACACTGCAGCTTGAAGCTGTCATTTACTGTGAACTTGAGCGTGGCTGCCACTTCCTTCCCCACATCCGACGGTAGTGGCTCGAACGTGACTCGCAGTGTCACTGACTTGAGCGCGTCCACCACACAGACGTGCAGATCGCACTTGAACCTCGTCTTCCTCTGTGCAGAAGCCTCGCCGTTGTGGCTCATGGCGTATCCTTCGTACTTGACTCTGGCATTTCCCACTTCATTAGCGTTCTCCAGTGTCAATTGTCTGCTTCTGCGTTCGCCCAGTGGCACAGAGCCGAAGTGAATTTGGCCAATGTGGCTGAAGTCGTCCACCAGCATCGTAGCGGAGCCTGTTCCGAGATTCTCCTCATCCAAGCCCAAAGATTCTGCATGGAGCGCCAACGCTCGCGCTTCGAAGTGAGTCATAGCATTAGCCATCGCAAGCGGGTTTCGCTGTGCTCGCTCCTCATCAGAATCCTCCTCCTCCTTTGTCTCATTAGACGCGTTGAGTGCCTTGCGTGCTGCTGGACGCTTCCCGAGCAGCGAGGAGGCTGTAGAGTGCTCAGCATTATCTGTGAAGGACAACAACTCGGCTTCTAGTAGTGACTGTCGACTGCCGCGCCTCATCGTGACGTTCGGGTGACCCCAATCGTGACCAATAAGAGGAGCGCGGTTCTCCTTCCCGTCGCTATCTTGATCCGACGACAGTGCAGCCGTTTCGTGACGGTTTTCAGCGTTTGGGACCTCGTTCTGAGCAGAATTAAACAAATCGAACGACGCGCGTAATTCCCACTTGCTGCGAGCCTGGATGGCGTCGCTAACACCGCGCATGCCGGTACACTTTCTCGTCGTTCAGCCCGTGCGCGCGCTTCGAGTGTTTAAACTGACCATGGAGTGCACATAGACATTTTATGTTGCGCACATTCATCACACTAAATGTTGCATGAGTAAAAAGTGTAATTACTGTTTGTGAACCGATAGTGTGCACCACATGGATTTAGGACCGCTGTCACGATTCGTACTTACACGGAGGTGGGGTCGAAAGCAGCTCGCCGCCAACCAATAGGCCAAGCCCTCGGACCCGCCACCCTCGCGGCATTTATTTGCCGAAAGCTAAAGCACAAGCGGAAGAATGTCGACGATCACCAAGGAGCAGCACGACGAACTGTGCGTGGCGTACGCCTCCATGATCCTGTTTGATGCGGAGCACGAGATCACGTCCGAGTCGATCCAGCAGGTCGTGACTGCCTCGGGCAACGAGGTGGAGCCGTACTGGCCCACGCTCTTCGCTTCGCTGCTGTCAAAGGAGGGCAAGGCTCTGGAGCTCATCTCCACGGGCGGAGCTGCCGCTGGCGGTGCCGCTGCCGCCTCGGGTGCTGCTGCTGGCGCCGCTGGCGCTGAGGAGGAGAAGGTTGAGGAGAAGGCCAAGGAAGAGGAAGAGGAGGCTGTAAGTGGAGTGATGGGTCGCTCTTTCGAAGTTTTTTTCGCTATTTGCTGACGTTTTTGTGATTTTAACTACAGGACCTGGGTGGCGGCATGGACATGTTCGGTGGCGACGAGGACTACTAAGCTATGGTGTGCTATAGTGAGATCTGCAAGTAGACCCTGCCAGCCGATTGTGACCGTCTGATCCCGCTTTAATTCCGTAATGGACTCGCGCGTCTATTCTTCCGGTGAAAATCAAAGGCTTCAAGCCAGCGTCTTCAATTTTAGTCCTGGTACTGGGTCGTGTTTTCTCGGCTTCGGATCTTGGCAGGTATTTTCCTCTTCGCCTGCACAGGAACGCGGATACAGGCGTCAGGCTTTCGAACAGGTTGACAGGTTGGCACGTTTACGTGAGGAGGCAGGTGCGCGGGCCGGAATAGTGGCAATTGAAGGCTCAGGACGAGTCCTTCCTGGCGGTATACTTTAAGCATCCAGGTGTTCGTCGACACAGTCGTGGATAGCGTCTTTTGCCGTGCGTTACTCCGCACTCTTGATATCCTGCTCCCGGTACTCGTATTGCATGCACTACGCTTTAACGTGGTCTGTCCAGCAAAGTTTCGCTCTGTGAGGTGGCTGAACGGTTTTACATACTACTACATGTAGTATCTACTACTAGTAGTAGTACATACTAGTAGAACTTCCTAAGCTACCGGTCCTTCTACAACAGCATTGACCTACCTACCTTCGTAAGCGTTTCGTGAATGCTTGACGATGCATGAACATGGATACGTGTACCTGCCTACGAATGCTTTTTTTTAGATGCACTAATTTTAACCGTTATTACACATTTACAAGGCCTTCATCATGAAGTTCTATTCGAATGTCATAAGTACTAATAAAAATCTTTAGCGGTTAAGTACGAGTATGGATCACCACAAGTTCCCTCTCAAAAGACGATAGCGATTTCAACAGGGAATACTATGCTGCGTCTGTGGCGGCACTTCCTCCCCCTCTCTTCACAACAGCCATCGCCGTCGCCACAGGAAGACTTTAGGATTTACGATGACTGCCGCCGTTGCCAAGAAAGCCATGAGATGGCACAAGCTCCCCTTTACCAAGTTCCTCGCCCATGAGTCTAAGCGTGAGCACTTCCAGCCCTTCCTCATCGCCGGAGCGTACGTTTATGGAATGCAGCTCCAATTGTCTTAGTCGACCGTCTATCTTATCACCGATTGTTTATCACAGTGCCGCTTGGGTGATCTGCGGCATCCTTCCCACGCGTGGTGCCACCCAGGAGGACAAGGAGACGAGCAACTACTGGAAGCGCATCAACGGAAAGTTCGACTACAGCCACCACTAGGCGCCTACTGAACGAATGGGGACTGCTCGCGTAGGATAAGGGGATGAAGGTGTCATAGCTTGGTGCAGAAGATAAGGAAAGCGGCTAAGCATGTTTGTGGACGTGACTATTCATTGTCTGCAATAGTTTGATTGCGCTTCTTGGCTTCGGCGCTGACGTTCCCTACGCGACGATTGAGTCACTACCCCACAAGAAATACACCTAATGCGTGAGTTTTCTTGGTAGCTTGATGCGTTTATTTAATTCGTTGCTCTTGTGGGATATCGTGCACTATATTGTGGCGCTGTATTGAGCGCGTCTATCAGGGCACTTGATACTTGAAGTTGACTCACTACTTATCGAAGAGATCAATACATGTATGCAGAAGGATCTTGGAAGTTAGAAAATACCTTACGCAGACTCCGAATGATGGAGAAAGTTTCCAATATGCCGGACTCTGGCTCAATGCGAAGACATAAGAATGCGACCCTGCACACACTACATGTACAAGTTATTACTTCGAAGTAACAATTCGAGGTATACAATGTTTGCTCGCTTGATAAATATTACTACTGTTTTAGAATGCCTCTGGTGTAAACCGAAGTGGACATTCGAGCAATAGTCTTAGTACTACGAAGTACAAGTACTAAGTATGCTTCTACAGGTATTAGTACTACATGTACTACATGTAGGAGCTGTATGACTTCACCAGAAAGCTGATTGTTTAGCAATTCTTGGGGCCACGGCCCATGATTACATTCATGTCATTAAGATCTAGCTGCCCTGCCTTGATTGAATACTTCGATGTAGCACAACTAGATCAAACTCATACGCGCAGCTTTACAGCTTGGAGTCGACCGTGATGCGCGACTTCTTCTCCATTTTCTTGGACCAACTCTCGAGCGCCTCACGAGGCATCACAGGCTTCTTGTAGAGGTAATGTCCTCCGTCCACAATCAGCACACCACCCGACACAAAGTTCCCCACAGGGGAGACTAAGTACAGCACTGCGGCTGCGATGTCCGTTTTGGCTCCAACACGACCAACAGGAACCGTACTCGCCATGCTCTTCTTCCTCTCTTCAGGGCTCACGTCTCCCCCCAGCTTGGCGGTGCCCGTTGTGTCAGCAATTGGTCCCGGAGCCACACCAGTCACTCGGATCCCAAATTGCCCCCACTCCAGCGCTAGTGAGCGCGTAATGCTGTCCACTGCAGCCTTCGCAGCCGACGCATGCACCTGGTACCATGTGGCCGGAAGTTGTAGCGTGGCCGTGATGTTAATAATGCGTCCGTCTCCGCTTCTCTTCAGCGGTTCGAAGGCCGCACGGCTCATGTTGAAAGTACCAATGGCATCGATCTCCATGACAGTGCGGAAGGCATTGGTTGACAGCTTCTCGGCAAGCGCCAGGAAGTTGCCAGCTGCCGAGTTCACCAGCACATCGAGCTTGCCGAAGCGTGCCACTACTTGCGCCACTGCGTTGTCTGCGCTCTCAGTAGAGCGCACGTCGCCCTTTACGAGCATGCAGGCGTTTTCCGACACGCCGCGCTCGCGCATGAGGTCCATGGTGTCCTGCAGAGCACTATCTCGACGGCCAAATACCGCAACCTTGGCACCATACTCGGCGAGCTTGACGGCGATCTCCTGGCCGATGCCGGAGCCTCCACCAGTTACAAGAGCGACACGGCCGACGCAGACGTCGCGGCGAAAGACACGTTGAATGCTGGTAGAGTCCATGGATACTGTGAGCAGGACCAGAACACGTTGGACCAGGGTTGCCGAATGCGAAATGCGCTTCAACCTGTTGATTCGACATATACCGGATGTGATACCGGTAGGTCCTGCAGCATGCATTGTTTCTGGCCCAGTAATACCGGTAATTGCATCTGGTGTCTGAGTGTTTGTTGGCCCCTCTTTTTGCGCACGATCACGAATTGCTCGCTACAGCGACGGCCCTCACCGCCGGAGTCTTACTGCAGTGCGTGCATTAGGCTGGTGGCAGTAAACTGTGAACGTATTACACTTGGCACCTGATCTCATTTTGGCCTTCCCTTCCAAGGCCGCCACAGTTGATACAGCCCAATAGGACCAGCAGCGCAGCAAGATGAGCGTCGTCCTCGCCAAGCAGGCGCAGAAGACCTACTCGCTGGTGGACAAGAAGCCCTTCTTCAAGCATTTCTACCCCAAGGATGTGGCCATCCTGGCTGTGCGCTCGACAGCTATGCAGGGCTTGATGGTCTTTAACGCGTACGTGGCGTCGCTTGACCTGGAGCTGTCGGACGAGGAGTTGAGCGAGGATGAATTCGAGGACGTGGATGCTGCGGCTGATGAGAAGGAAGAGTTTGTCCCTCCATCCATGGAGGAGTTCGGTATCACTAGCGCTAAGTCCTTCGGCAAGTCGCTGAGTATCACCACGTACGTGCGGTCGCTCGAGGAGGTGGCGCTGCGCATCTGCCGCCCGCAGATTGTCAGCAAGCTCATCAAAGGTGCGTCGCCGGTATCAAAGCTGTAATGATCCACGACGGCTGCAAGGTAATTGAATGGATGTGATTGTAGACATCAGCAAGTCAGCCATGCGCAAGTACGCTCGTACGTCGAGCAGGATGACGGCTGCGGCGTTGATGGTTAGGACAGGCATGCGCGCCAACGTGCTGAGCCATCTCGCAATCTTCCTGGTTGAGGAGGTACGTTGCAAGCGGATGCATTGATATCTTGCTTCGTGAGTGAACGGACGGACGATAAAGCTCTTTTTTCACACTCACACGTGCTGGGTGTCTTGACTTGTCCAGACCCAGCAACTTGTGATCATTCTGTACCGACGCTTCGTGTCTAGAAAAGGCGGTAAGAAGGCCAGCAAGAATTTGCGGTCGATTGAGGAGGGCATCCAGAGTAGCAGCAGCAGCGACGAGGAAGAGGATGCGCTCTCAACGTTCGTGTCTAACACTGGTCGCAACGCCACTCGCTCTGCTCTGGCTGTCATCACGGGCGGCGTCGGCGCGGCAGTGGGCACGGCTGTACGACCAGGTATCGGTACGATGATCGGTGGTACACTAGGCGATTCCATCGGCTACGTGTTGTTTTAGATGCGATCCAGGGCTGGAGAGAAAGATACTTCCGGGGCGATGGAGACCCACCGAATAACTGCAACATCAATGCTATACCAGACTCACATGCCATTCAGATCAACGACTCGATGGCTCGTTATCTTTTGTTTGAATACCGGCGTCAACAAGAGTTCCATATACCTCGACGATGTAGCGAAACATCCTTTTGTCCGTTTGACGTCAAGTTAACGGTTCCTTTTCATCGCGGGGTCAATATGCTGTCTGATAGACTCAATTCGCTTGTAAAGTCACTATTAAACTGTCACTGAAATGAATATATTCCATGTACTAGGATATTCTGTATTCCGCACGTGCTCTCCCACACTAAAGGAGAACTGAAGAGCACGGCGAGCGTGAAGGCCGAGCCTCCTCACGCCTTCCTCGCTCTCCTCGTAGCATCTTAACAACACAAGCGAACGAACCAATCGACACACCTTCTCTACATCTCTTATCGCTTCTTTTCCAGCTTGGATTGATCCACTACAGAGCACAGACGAGCCCATGACCACTTCGCCTAGCATGTTCATGGAGACCGTCTCGCCAAACGATGACGCACCGTCCGCGTCGTCTTCATCCTCCAATTCGACGGTACTGGACGTTGACTCTCTGGAGTCGCAGTTTGCGCAACCGTCAGTGCTCAAGGCGTCGAAGGATGCCACCGCCTCCCCCGAGGTCGTCGTGCCCGTGTCCGACAGCGACGATGAGCAGACAAATGGGTCCATCAACGGCCACAATAACAGCAAAAATGACGCCGTCGTGGTGGAAATGAATGGCCACAAAGACAGTAATGGCAGCCAGCCACAGCACGTGCTTCCCCCACTGCGCGTCATGACACAGAAACTCCCCGTCGAGGAGAGAGATTACGTGGACCCTACACTGTTCTCCCCAGAAATATCTAGACACGCCATGGAGGTGGCGCATCGTCGAGCCAAAGCTATCGCCACGGAGGTAAAGGAGATGAATGAGCTGGAGAGCGAAGTGGCAGGCGCCGCCAAGACTAAAATGTCTCCAGCTGAGGCCGTGGGGATCATCGGCGGCGCCTTTGCGAGTTCATTACAAAAAGCGAAGAAACTGGTGAAACCTGGTACAAAAGAGTATGATTTACTGTCTGGGACGTCCCCGTCGGCAGGGATGTCGAAACTGGACGATCTTGACACGGATGGAGACGGACTGCAGCTCTCGCCTGATGCGACTCATACTGACGGAAAACATTTCCGCACACCGAAACTAAGACCGGCATTGAAGCGCATCTCGGCGTACTCGGCAGCTGCACTCGAGTCAGAGAAGAAGACGTCGAGTACGCGACTACAGAAGAAAAAGGGTATCCAATGGCACGAGGACGTTGCCGATGAGGAATTTTACGAAGACGACAGTGAAGAACAGGAAACCCACTCGTTGATGAACGCAGACGGCGATGGCAGCAGCAACGGCAACGGCAGTCCTCGACCACAGATACTGAACTACAGTAGCAAGAATGACGGACAGCTTACGCCGCGTAGCAAGAAGAAGCGCAAAAAACTGGTCAGATCCATGATGCGTCGATTGACGCCTCGTGAGAAGGAAGAGCTGTACAGACAACGACCAGACCTGATGATCGTGCCCAATTGGGCGCAGAAATATCGCGAAGAACTTGCTGGCGAAGACTCGACTCGCTGGAACGCCTGGCTGCTCGGACTTATCTCGGTGCTGGCGGTGCTGCTGCTGCTGTTTATTCTCCTCATCGTGCGGCAGCGTGCCGCCGCAGTGGCGAAATGATTCTAGTAGCTGGACCCATTAGAGAAGAGTGACCAGTTGGGAAATGGTCTCCTCCCATTTTTTTGCTGCTTAATGTTTGGCTTGTTGAACCTTATAGCTGGGTCGCGCACGGAACCGAAGATTCGCGCACCAGGACACAACTACGAACTTACTTTCCATAATATTTACTGGAACGTCAAGATTGTTTTACTTTATCATAGTATTGTTTGAAGCTTCCACTGGGGTGAGACGAGTTTTAAGATCAGAAAATTAGCCCATACTAGTACATGCAAGGAACGGACCAGTAAACAACAAGAATAATTTATTGGACAAAAAAGAGGACCAAAAGTATAAAGCTGAAATTAATTCCTATTTATTTAAAAAGCTTACAAATACACAATTAGATGCTTAAAATGTATAGCTCTCTACAAGCATACTAGCAACTCTTCGCTAAACCTAGGCGTTATTGCATGAGCTGCTGTGCCGTAAGGTGTCGTATACCTCCACCTCCAAGGGTCGGGTCGTCTGTGGCTGTTCAGGGAGTACGGTCTCGTTCAGTGGCTGGAACGGTAGAAAAAAAAACACTTAATAAGAATATAAATTTCTTTATTTGACTTGGGTTCCGCTTGAGTAGAAGGTGGGAAATATAAGACTGAGAGCTAAATGGAAGAGAGGTCTAACGCCTTCCCTTCCCTCATATACATGACACCGCTTCTTTTACACTCGAAGGACGAGTTCGCTTCACCTCACATCCGCCCTCGTAGGACAACAGGGAGCTCTGGGAAGGGGACTCGATTGCGCGAGGCACCTTAGTCCCACGTCGAACAGGTCCCAGCGTTCCAAGACCACTCTAGAGGGCAACTCTAACGGTCTCGACAGGGTGTACGCGAGCCGCCGAGTCTAGAGGGTACCAACCGGACGGGACGGCGTGACGAGGAGTAGCCACAGGACCTCGGGTCAGGGTACGACGCTCGGAATGACCCCATCGTTCCCGGGTACGGTACATCCCCCCTCCCCGACTTGGCGCTTGCCGTCCTCGGCGAACGGAAACACCATGCTGCCTCATTAGGTTTACCACTATTGCTGCGGCGTTCGTCAACTCGACAGGTAGGTTGGAAGGGAACGCTTCAGGGTAGTCTTCGGTACAGTCGCCCTGTAGATCGGGGTCAGCTGCTTGAAAGTAGTGTAACACTTCAATGTCGTCATCGACCCGTAGGCGTTCGATGCTCAGAACTTCAGCTCGGCTGCGCTCAGAAGCGTTCCGCCGGGCACTGGAAAGAGCTAAGTTAACCAACACTTTAGGAGAGACGGTCCGTAGCGGACTTCTGTTGTCGTACTGGCGACAAGCGTGCGAAATCACCCCCGTAATTACCACGACACTAGGGATCGAAAGCTCAAAGTAGTTGCATGGGGGTGTACACAATAGTATTATATGTAACGTGTTGCACTCGCACCTTTGCTTGATCAATATTAATGGAGAATTTTTGAATGTAAGATCGCGACGACTACACGGTGTTCTCCATATGAACTGTTATAGTAAAAAAATACGACAGAAACTCAGCCCATACAAATTTCTAGTCGCCCACCATGCCACATGTACATTTTATATAGTTTTTTTTTGTTTTGGGCCGATGGTGGCCGTAAATTGTGCCCTGCTTGACAAATCTCTTTTTGTATGTGAGCCTCCCTTTAAAGTGCAAAAACCCGAGCGTTAGCACACCCCTGCTATTTTGAAGCTTGTTTTGCAACTTGTGTGTAAACCGCACCATCAAATAATGAAATTTGACTGAGTTATGGGCTCTCGACGAGTTGGTCGTATATCGTGTTGGTACGTGTATCGGCGAGGCCCCAGCCAGTCCACCCGAGACAATAGTTAGAAGCCAGCAGGAGTAGCAGTACGGCGCCGACACCCACTCCCAAAAGTACGAGCTCCACTAGGTCGAACACGTTGATCGGTACGTACAGCAACAGAGGGACGCACAGTAGTACTACCCAGCAGGCAGCTTCTCCCACGGCGTAAAGACGCATCCAGGTAGCTTTAGATGCGTCCCAGAAAGCGAGCTAGTAGCATACGCTCGAGTCTCTAGTGCGAAGGAGGACAACATGGATGTATTCGGAGTTGCCGGCGACCCACCAAATCAGCAGCATTCGACCATACCGACCATGCTTCTCTTCTCCCTTGAGTAGAACGATGGGAGGCACAGCGAAGAACGCCTTCCACACCCCATTAGCGTACATACCACCCCGGAGTTGTCGTAGTTCTCCAGCTTGGAGCACGTCCCGGTATAGTGAAGCACAATCACCACAAATATCGCAGTTCATCTTCGTAACGTGCCACACTTGGACTAGGAACGCCCAGGCAACGTTACGTAGAAGGAGTCGCTAAGACCCATGTTGTTATAGCGCCTACGTACACGGGCCACAACTCCCAGCGGGCGTACTCGAAGAAGACACTTGCTTGAGTCCCCGTTGTAGGAGAGGAACACCTTACAAATAAGAATGAATGTTTCCATTCGAGCTGTCTTTTCCCGAAATCAGTCGTTCTCCATCCTTCTTAGTCGTTTACCATCAATCAAGTTTTTGAGAAAGGAGGTCAGCGGGTTTTCGTCTCTTGCGAGAGTCCATCTTGCACCCAGTGAGGGTTTTTCACAGCAATACCCAGAGAGACGGAACTGGAGGTTCAGGTCTCGACGGCTAGTCTTTCAGCTCATTCGGCAATTTTGCCTCGACCTAAGACACTTCCTCCGACACTCCTTCCTCTCCACGCCACACCAACATGGGCCCTTCACACGGCAAGGCGCCCCGAAAGTTCAAGGTCGTCTAAAACGTGGAGTCGTCCGACTCCGACAGTCCCTCCCTCAGCGAGTCTCCGGTCGACGAACGTTTCTGGACCACTTCGGGGCTTACTAGCGGGTTAACGTGAGTTCTTTTGGCCTTGAGGTGTTAGACTCCATCGCGGTGGCAATTTTGGACGACACCGGAAAGGCGGCGGACGCCTTGACTGGGCCCGTGGTGATCATGCGGAAGCCGTCACACCAGTCTGCTCGCAAAAAACCGCCTCGACATCTGCGCTTTACCCAGCACGGTCGATTCCCGATCAAGAGCGTTAGTACAGGATCCGCTAACAAGAAAACGCTGCCAGAGAGCCCTCGTTCCGGTAAGAAGCGTCAGAGTCACCTTGGTCATCGTATGCGTTGCCGTTCAAGTTGGCGGACACGACCCCTTCTTTGATAGTTGTTGACCTCCAGAGGGTCTATCACGAAGCGTCCGAGCTGGGTCAAAAATCGTACCAGCTCGCCTACCCGTGGCGGGGTGGTACAATCCGCAGGAATTCCCTCACGTGCACACTTCTCACTGGCGTTTCTGGAACGAAAACCGTTCTAGGTTCTGGGACTGGTAAGCGAACGCCCCGTTGAAAACTTCCAACGCACACACTCAGCGTCGCAAGGTCAAAATGTCGGCGGTGGTCGCTCGCGTCTGGTTCTTGAGTATCTGCGTCAAGACTTGGGATTATTTCGGTTTCCTTCGACTGTTCGAGAGCTGCGCCCATCGACGTCTTCTCATGTGGATGGGGGGGGGAGGGGTCAGCCAGGTCGGAATGCCCCAGACGCCAAGTCATACTACCGCCCGGTTATCGACGTCATCTCTCCAAACTTTACTCGCAAGACGCTGAGGCGTATTCCCGCAAAGTCAATAACGCTCTTAAACCGTTCCGTATCGACGAGGGGGCTTGACGACGATCACTGAATTACTGGAGCATACCGGAGCCCTCGATCCAAACAGTTCGAAGCCGGACAACCAGCTCACGGACCGAGCCCTGGCTCTCGTTTTCTTGGATTCGAAGTCTAAGGACGAGTACGAGCCACACTGGGTGGGAGACCGTTCGTAGGGAGTCACACTCGTTGCGTCACTGCCCTCGCATTCAAAAATTGGCGACTAAGCTTTCACGGGAACGGGATGGCGGATCTCTGAAAACACCCAAGATAACGCCTCTTGACTCGTCCGAGGCAGACTCCGAAGGCTATGCCGCTTATGAGCGCACGGACGCCACTTATACGACGATTCGGGACGAGGTGAGCGAAGAAGAGTCAGCCTATGAGAAAGAGAAAGTGGAGAGCGAAGCCGAGGATGTCCATCCCTTCAAGAAAACGTTACTCTTGGCTTCTAGCTCCGAAGAGAGTTCAGACGAAGACAAGCGTCCTAGCAAGCGGCTGCATCTTTCCTGTACATCTAGAAGTCGAAACCTTGTACGAAGCGTTCCCACTCTCGATCGCGCAGCTACCCGCCTCCGAAGAAGTCCTATATCACCCCCGCACATAAGCGGTCTCCGTCTCCTCCACGTGCTAAAGGAAGACTCAAAGCACGCGCGGCTTCGCCTAGGCGTTCAGTTGCACCCCAGCGGTCGCGGTCGAGATCATCAGTGCGCAAGAAGTCTCGTCGGTCGCGCTCGATGGAGCGCTCTGCTTCACGTCCGAAGTCATCGGTTAGGTATCCGACTAAGAAGGGTAGTAAGGGCGAGCCACGGCGCGAGAAGACACGATTACTTTCTCCGCACGCGAAGGGGCACAGAGCAACCCCCGTTAAGAACACTGAAGTTGAAGCAACGACTCGATTCCCAGCTCAAGAGTCGCGTGATGATACCCGCAAACGTTCGTGGTCGCGTTCGTCTTCGTCGATGAAGAAGGTAGGGTCCTCAGGGAGACGCTCGGCGTCGCAGCCTGCGTCGGCGCCGAAGAAGTCGAGCTTGTCGGGAGAACACCCCACCGACACCTCGCCAACGAAGGAATCCGCTAAAGTAGCCAAGTTGTAAGACTTCATATAGTTCTTGATTCGCAAGAGCCCAGAACCGTTCCGTCCGGACGAGAGTAGGAGGAGTAGTGTCGCTTCCAAAGTTTTGATGTTTTTTCTTGTCTTTCAGCCGCGATTCATCTGGTCGTTTATAGTTCTTGTCCCTCATCTTAGAGCTGCGGTTTTCTTTTCGACCGAAAGTAAGGTATCCAACCGTAATGCAAAATCTAAAAATATACAGAGTAAAAAAAGAAGCGTTCCTCCTAACACTTCCGAGAAAGACTAGATCGAGAGGTAATCCGGCTCGCCCGACCAGTCCTTTTCTACACTTCTTTTTAGAAAGCAGTTCCTCTTACAGCGGTATTTGCATCCTCTAACCCTGCGCTGCGACGTAACTCTGGTAGGACCTCCTCCTTACGACGGGTGT